TAAAGCAAAACTAGAGGCCTGATGCACGAAATTCGTGCAAGTACCTCAGCCCTCACAGCCACGGTGGCTTCCTCGGCCCTCGCAGCCCTGGCTTTGTCCAGAAGGTTGTCTGGAAGGTCATCTGGCTGTCTGGTCTAATTAGCCTATTATGCTTTTATTATTGTTGATAATATTTTGTGATGTGTCTATTTGGCCCTAAGTTTTTCTTTTATTTTTTTTGCTTCTAGAGTTTATTCATATGATCATATAAGTTTTTATATATAAAATTTTTATGTATTCATAAGTTTTCATGTATTACTCATATGTATAAGATGTACTTATATAAATCTTTGTAGAATATATATCTTATTACTTTATTCAAGAGGGCATTTCATACCTGATTTTTTTTTAAACATATCCTCAGGTGAGGATTTTTTCTTCTTTTTAAAATTGATTTCAGAGAGAGGAAGAGAGAGGGAGAGAGAGATAGAAACATCAATGATGAGAGAGAATCATTGATTGGCTGCCTCCTGCACACCCCCCACTGGGGATCAAGCCCAAAACCTGAGCATGTGCCCTTGACCAGAATTGACCCAGGACCCTTCAGGCTGATGCTCTATCCACTGAGCCAAACAAGCCAGGGCCATACCTAATTTTTTGAAGATTAAAAAGATCATATTTAATAGAAAAGGGACAGAATGAATCCAGTAGAAGGAAACTTTCTGAATCTTGTTCTTGTGGCATTTTCAAGGACTTCAGTAAATTGCTTTTATATAGAGAGTGGGATTTCTTGAAGGTAAGTGTAGTTTATTTGTATATACTTTAAAAGTGAAATTTCCTATTCATTAAATGTCAAACTAATAGCATTAGAAGAAAGATGGGAATGATATTTCAAAATAATAGACTCCCTATGTGTAGAATTTATAAAGCATGAATGCTAATATTCTAGATTGAAAGAAAATTTGTTGCACCCTTTTCCCCCTAGTTAATTAGGAAAATAGCCATTTTATGCTGACACAAGTCAATTAGACTGTGAACTAGCTAAATTCTATAAACTAGCTAATTTTGTCAATAGCTGGAACATGTTGCTCTTACCCAGAACATTCCTCTGTGTGTCCTCAGACACGTCAGGCTGTGGGAAGTTCCTCTCTGTGCCTCTTACACTCTGTACGTGAGCCCCGCTTAGACTGTGTCGCAGCGTTTGCTGATTCTCATTTGTGAACTTGGGCTGCAAAATTGCTTCATACTGACCTGTATATCCTGGATGCCTAAGATGGAGTTGTGTTTATAGGGAACAACAAATGTTTGTCAAAGGGAAGTTGGATATGTTCATTCACATATTTATTCAGCAACACATTTATTTACACATTGAATATATTATATGTAGGCAATAGAATAGGCACTATTTTAGACCATGGGAATACTGTGGTGACCAGAACCAATGCAGCTTTTGCTCTCATTAGTCATATAATTCAGAAGAAAAACGGGCTTTGATACAAATCATTACAATAAGTGATAATGAGCATTGTGATAGGAAGCAAAGAATCCTACTGGAGGATCTGCCTTAGCAATGGGGACTGAAGGCTTCCCAGAAGAAGTGATGTTTACATTGGGACCAGATATGAGCTGGAATCATCCGGAAAGGGTTGGGAGAATTGTGGGGGAGGGAGGGTAGTGAGACCAGTAATAGGAAGTTTAGGTACTGAATCTTTATTTCAGGAGTGACGGTTTCTCCCAATAGTGCTACTTGTTTGGCTGTTCATATTACCTAATGGAGACAAAGACTGTAATTATTGTTCAGTGTTGAAATAATCTTTCTCTGAGTATGACTCTTGTGCCAGTTGTTCAACATCTCAACTTGTTAGTCAAGAACACAATTCTTTTTTGATATAGATTTAGCTTTAGTATATGAAGTCAAAGACAGTATTCTACACAGGCTATCATAACTTTCCAATTCAAAGTCATGACAAGAAAAGATAAACTTTTTGTGCAGAATCATCTGCTCTCTAAATTTTGGAGGTCACTTTAATTTTTCAGTCTCCCAGCTGCAATTCTGACTTCCAGAAAAAGACATAAAAATCACCATTTACTGGTCTTGAAGTTTTGTCATCCCCACTGGAAATTTCCTGAGAAAATAACAGCTAATACTTAAGTGCTTTCCATGTTCACCTATTGTGCTAAATATATATTATGAAATATATATAGGTAATATTTTATCCTTTTCTTATAAGTAAGAATACTACAAGTAATGAATGTCCAAGTTTCAAAACTAGAAGTGGTGGAGTAGAATCTCATCTCAGAAGTATCTGGTTCAGGAGCCTGAGTTCCTTACATGGAGGTGCTTAGGAGAGCTGAATGTGATATGTTAACATGCTGAGCTCGCCTCAGACCCTCTTCATAGGCTTTTCCCATTATGTGGAACACCATTCTTTGTTATATTTAATAAAAATTATTTATTCCATTTTCTTTATGCTGAAGTTCATGAATAAGTGAAAACTAATACATTCATGGAGTACTGTGAATAAAATAGGCCCTTTCATATGTTGTTGGTGAGATGGCTGTATTTTGGAGACTTAAACCTCATTTGCTTTTTGACTCAGCAATTCTACTTTTATGAATTTATCCTACAGCTAAATTTGATCATATATGCAAAGATATATGTCATGGTGGTTCTTTTTTGTTGTTGCTGTTGTTAATCCTCACCCAAGGATATTTTTCCATTGATTTTTAGGGAGAGTGGGAGAGAGAAACATCAAGGTGAGAGAAACACATTAATTGGTTGCCTCCTACATAAGCCCTGACCAGGGAGGAGCCTGCAACCAAGGTTCGTGCCCTTGACCAGAATCGAACTCCGGACCCTTTGGTCCGCAGGCTGACACTCTATCTACTGAGCCAAACTGGCTAGGGCCCATGGTTGTTGTTGTAGCATTGTTTAAGCAGAAAAAAGTTGGAAATGATTGTGTGCCCAGTAAAATAAGTATATCAGTAAAATGTGACCTTAGTCAAGTATTAATAAGAATGATAACACCAACTAATCAGTCTTCACTAAGTGCTAAGCACTGATCTTACTTATGCTCATTAAATTGTAGGTATTATTATTATTAGCTTCATTTACAGAGGTTAAGTGACTTGTCCAAGGTGGTAGGACAGAGACACAAGCAGAATGGCTTCACAGCCCACACTGTTAATTACTGTGCTGTATGGCTCCTGGTCATCTGTATTCTAATGTGAAAAGAAAATAATTTGGTAAGGAAAATGAGGAAATTGTTGAAAGTTTTTATAGTATGATACCATTTATGTAAAAGATCTATGACTCTATCTTCTATATGGTCCATTTATAACAAATATCTGTTTTCTTGTGACATAAAATCTCTCTAAAATATGTTCATATATATTAATGTGTTTGAATATATGAATATATTAATAAAATATACACATGTAAAACAAATACAAATATATACATATAAATACACATCTACACACATATGCACACACACAAAATATGGAAACATTTCTGGACAGGTATACAAGAACTTAATGGGTGTTTGGGGGGATTAGTATGGAGACTGAAAAAAATGTTCACTCTGTACTCTTAAGTATGGTGAATAATTTAAAACCAGTGAGCACATATTGCTTTTATAACACAAATAAGCTTAAATTGAAAAACTTAAACACTGGATGTGGTAGTTCTTAAGCAATGATGTTACTGATTTTTGAATTAAAAGTATATTTTATTGATTTTAGAGAGAGGAAGGGAGAGAGAGAAACATCAATATGAGAGATAAACAGTTGCCTCCTGCATGTGCCCCAACTGGGGATCCAACCTGCGACCTGGGTATGTGCCCTGACCTGAAATCAAAACCATCGCCTTTTGGTGTATGGGATGATGCTTTAACCAACTGAGCCGCACTGGCCAGGGCTGAATTGTGCACTTTTAAAAATGAATGAACTCCAGGGGCAGGGGCCATTTCCTCATTTCCTGAAAGCACGTTAATGATTCCTCTATCCCTAAACATCTCCCCCTTTCCCACCCTGATCCCTTCTAGCCTCTGCCCTTCCCTGGTGGAGGGAGGGAGCTCTCGCCCTCCACGCCCTCTTGCTTGGATCTGTATATAGTGTGAGCAGCAAGTAGCCCCGTTCCCTCCCTGCCCCTACCCCTCCTCAGTGTAATGGCCTTGGATATCCCGTCTATCATAATAAAAGTGTATTGTGCTAATTAGACCGGATGTTCTTCTGGACAACTTTATGGACGAAGCCGGGGCTGTGAGGGAAGCTTGGGTCCCGGGTGCCTGCCGGCAGCTGGGGGAAGGAAGGCCTACTTTGCACGAATTTTGTGCATCAGGCCTCTAGTTTAATAAAGACAATTCAATCAGCTCTCCCTTGACCCCCTCCCAAAAAGAATGAGTATACATTGCTTTTATAATAAAGTGCATTTTAGTGGAAAAGCTCTAATAATAGTGGACAGATTTCTTTAATAGTTATATACTATGAAATATCATTTTTGTGTCTAGGTTTGGGATATGATTTATTTATTATATTGACAGTTTAGGATAAAACTGCCCGTGTTAAACTTTTATCAGAGCGTTGCAGTCTTATCTTAAAAAGGCTAGCTCCTTTCTAACATCCATTGAATTGGAGAGTAACTCAATGTAGATTTACCTTATTCTGATACACAAGATTGTATCCAATTGAAGCCTTCGTAATGAAAGCTTTCACAGAAATGAGATTCAGCAAATGCAGAAGTTGACAGCAATTTTACTAGATGTTGTTAGTCAATTGAGCACCATTTTCTTGCAGGAAAATGGTATCCTGCTTCTTAAATGACAGAGCATTTATCAAACACACATGTCAATTTGAAACTGCATAGTTTATTTAATGAGACAGTGTTCCAGTGTCAATGGGCGGTATTTTAATATTCTGCTTAGTCATGGAATGTACTTGGGGTCAGGTTGGATGATAAATGCTGACACGGGCATAGCTGAAACCTCACGCGTGACTAACTCGGGGGCTGTGTTTTCCAGGCGAAGCTCTGAAAGTATCAGCGGAGAGATTTGCAGATGACCCCTGCTACCTCCCCAAAAGGGAGGCTGTGGTTCACGCTGCCCGTGCCCTGCTGGCTGCCGTTACCAGACTCCTCATCCTGGCAGACATGATTGATGTCATGTGTCTGCTGCAGCACGTGTCAGCTGTGAGTAAAAGATGGCTTCGTTTCCCTTGGCAGTGCTCTCCCTTCCAATTCCATTCTCTGAACCTGGCCCCCGTCTTAGCACATTCTGGCCTCACCCTGTTTCTTAATGTCACCCACCGGAAGCTGACTGAGTTGGGCTTTGCTACAAATGTATATTTCAAAAGAACAAAGACAAAAGAATAAAAAAGCCAGTGGAAACTCAGCAGCAGAAGATGGCTTCTACATGAGGAAATGGCTAGGAGAAAATTCTAGGCTATTGACCTCTTACATGATGATGTCCTCTGTAAATACATGTGTATAATAACATAATTATAGAGGTAAAGTAAATAATACGTATAAATATAAGTAATTGGAAAAAGAAACTTTAAAACTTAAGAAGACATTTGAAGTTTATCCTAGTTTGTAAGTGAATGTTACTTTGCCAGATCCTCTTGATTCAAGGTAAACGGTGCATGTTGACAGGTATCTGTGAGACCTGTGGTCATCCATTATGAAAATGTACAAATGGATTTAATATGTGTAGAGAATGTATTGTAACTCAGTGACTAGAAAGGAAGCAAGATACCTGCTTGCTTTCTTTTGCTCGACAAACCCATTCATGAAGGTTTAGTAGAAAGAGAATTTTATTAAAGCCTTTTTAAATTTAGTTTGATCAAGTCAACTCACTAATAGTATCCAAATGAGAAGGATGTGAAGAACCTCTTGGAATCGCAGCTTGATCTTCTGCTTTAAAAAGGACCCCCACTCTTTGGTCCCTAAGTACATTTGCCTGGTGACTGTAATATCACCACTCTATTAAACAAATGACGGCTTTGTCTGATTGACCCTTTTGTCAAAATCCTTTCCTCTAAAGGTTAAGCTAAACCTTTGCATCTTAATTTACTCCCTAATGTTTATTTTAACCCAAACTAGAGAGATCTCCCCTTTATACTTTCATATGCCGTTCTTTTTATAGCTTTATTACTGCAAAAAAGCAATTCGGTACTTTGTTGTGTTGTTTAAGTAGCTTTTAAGGAAAGGGAGTAGTTTTTATCACCAGGAGCTATCTACTGGTGGATTGTAGGTGAGATAATTGAGCAATGTTTCTTGTTCCTTGGTTATTGGTTTATTGAATACCTTTGAAAAAAGTCCCTAAACATTTCTGAGAGTCGTACCACCTCCCCCCCATATGAGAATGTAGACACTAATAAATGCTGTAACCAAGAAGTAAGTATGCATGATTAAGTGCCAGGAAATTTCTAGTTTCAGTGATGCAGTATTTGTTTATATTATATTTTATTTTTAGTTGTTGTTATTCTTCAACCGAGGATATTTTTTCCACTGATTTTTAGAGAGAGTGAAAGGGAGGGGGAGAGACAGAGAGAGAGAAACATTGATGTGAGAGAGACACATCAATTGGTTGCCTCCTGCAAGTGCCCCGACAGGGCCAGGATTGAACCTGCAACCGAGGTACATGCCCTTGACTGAAATCGAACCCGAGACCCTTCAGTCTGTAGGCCGATGCTCTAACCACTGAGCACCAGCTAGGCCTGTTTTATTTTATATTCTAAATTTTTTGAGATAGGGAAGAGTGAAAGGCTTCTCTGAGGTAAAAATTTCCACCTGTGTTATCAATTAGGAGATGACT